AGTGCCATGGAGTTATAGCTCACAGCAACCTCAAACTCCTGGGCTTAAGTGATTCTCTTGCCTCAGCCTCCCAAGTAGCTGGGACTACAGGTGCCCATAACAGCGCCCAGCTATTTTTTTGTTGCAGTTGTCTTTGTTTAGCTGGTCCAGGCTGGGTTCAAACCTGGCAGCTTCAGTGTATGTGGCTGGTGCCATAACCACTGTACTACCGACACTGAGCCAAGACTTCCCATTTTAGAGAGAGGAAATCACACAGATTGGGGAAGAGCTACACAGGTTAGTCAACAACAAGTGGTAGGACTGCACAAGTGGTGTGCACCTATAGTCCCAGCTAGTCCAGAGGCTTAGGCAGGAGGCTCACTTGAGCCCAGGAGTTTGAGGTCACAGAGAACAGTGATGATGCCACTACACTCTAGCATTCTCTTACTGAGAATAAGTTTCTCAGGCAGTTTGTGCCTTTGATCACCATCAATTTCATCTCAGTAAAATGGAATTGTTGTGAGGATTAAATGAGTTAATTCATGTAGAGCACCTAGATCAGCCTGGCATTAGTATGAGTTCACCCTTATTGGGGCAGTGCCTGTGGCTCAAAGGAGTGGGGTGCCAGCCCCATATGCTGGAGGTAGTGGGTTCAAACCCAGCCCCGGTCAAAAACTGCAAAAAAAAAAAAAAAGAGTTCACCCTTATTACTCTATGCAGCTTCCCTCTTCCCTTTCACAGGTAGAATAGCGGCATGGCAGTATATAGAAAGCAGTATTTCTTTCTTCTTCTTCTTTTTTTTTGAGACAGAGTCTTTGTCACCCTGGGTAGAATGCTGTGGTGTCACAGCTCACAGCAACCTCAAGCTCTTGGGCTTAACCAATTCTCTTGCCTCAGCCTCCCAGGAAGCTGGAACTACAGGTGTCTACCACAGTGCCTGGCTATTTGTTTTTGCAGTTGTCATTGTTTAGGTGGCCCAGGCCAGGTTTGAACCTGCCAGCCTCGGTGTATGTGGCCAGAACGCTACTCACTGAGCTACGGACACCAAGCCCAGTCTTTTTTTTTTTTTTTTTTTTTTTGAGACACAGCCTCAAGCTGTCGCCCTGGGTAGAGGGCTGTGGCATCACATCTCACAGCAACTTACCACTCCTGGGCTTAAGCGATTCTCTTGCCTCAGCCTGCCAAGTAGCTGGGACCACAGGCACCTGCCACAATGCCCAGCTATTTTTTGGTTGTAGCTGTCATTGTGGTTTGGTGGGCCTGGGCTGGATTTGAACCTGCCAGCTCTGGTGTATGTGGGTAGCGCTTTAGCCACTTGAGCTACAGGCGCCAAGTCAAGGGGTGTGTATTTTGAGTGGATCTTCATTTTTTTTTGGACAGATTCTCACTATGTCACCCTTGGTAGAGTGCTATGGCATTATAGCTCATACTAACCTCAAACTCTTGGGCTTAAGAGATTCTCTTGCCTCAGCCTCCCAAGTAGCTGGGACTACAGGCTTGAGTGGATTGTCACAGTGGGGAAATTTGGTTGTGGTTGACCCATCCCTCTAGACTTCAAGTCCTTTTGAAGCTGCCTTCCTTCCTCTCCTCTCTCCAAGGACGGAATGATGAACAGGCTTGGGTTCAAATCAGTTTTGCTATTTCTCAATGTGTGACCTTGGACTATTCTTACTTAATCCCTTTGGAATCTTAGTTTCTTCATCTGTAAAACAGCAAATAAATATAATGAAAGACAATGCAACTGTAAAATAATGAGAAAACTGTTTATATACCAATATGAAATGATCTCTAAGATATAGTAAATGGAAGAAAAAATCAACATGCAGAACACTCTATATTGTATATTAGCATACCTCAAAAAAAGGAAAAAGAGAACAAAACTTTTTGCTCATATATGCAAAAAAAAAATCACCCAATGCACAAAAAACCATAATACAGTATGCCTGGAGGGTGGGGGAAAACAGGGCAGGAATCAGTAAAGGGAGGATGTTTTACTCACATTGAACCATGTGAATATATATTGCCCATTCAAAATTTCCTAAGTAAAATTTGAAAATAAATGAGAGAATAGCATACTCAACCTCCTGAAGATGTGGGCAAATCAAAATTAGCACTGTGCCTAGTGCACAGCCCATGCATAAACTTTGTTTTTGGAAGCAGTCATATCCGCCTGCTCCCAGCTGCCTCCGTGTCCCCACTGTCAGCCTACTGCCAGTCAGCTGACTGCTGCCCTCTGGAGTAGCCAGACCCTTCTCTCGCCTCTGCAGGCTAATCTACTGGCTGACCTTCGCTGTGGGCCGCTCCTTCCGAGGCTTTGGCTATGGCCTGACATTCCTGCCGCTACTGTGCATGCTGGCCTGGAACCTCTACTACATGTTTGTGCTGGAACCCGAGCGCATGCTCACCGCTGAGAGCCGCCTGGACTACCCTGACCATGCTCGCTCAGCTGCAGACCACAGGCCACGACCCTGGGGCTGAGCCGCTTTGTCCTCTTGGCTTCTGGGACCTGGGTGGGCTTAGAACACTTCTCTGAACCTGCCTGCAGACCTGGACTTTGCCCCCAACCCTGGGATCTTGGTGCGGGGCACCCTGCTTCTGACCCAACAGGGCTGTCCCTTAGCTGGCATTGCCCTTCACTTCTGGGGCCCTGGGACAGTCGTAAAGGATGAATGGACTTAGTTTTCTTGTGTGGACAGCCATGTTCCTTAAGGATGCTGAGGGAAGGGGCCAGGACCAGGGTAGAGGCATGGGAGTCAATAAAGCTGGATGCTGCTCAACCCCCCAGCTTTTTGCGGGGCAGGGCTGCAGTCGAAGCTATGACATTTCTCTGTTAGTTGTCTAACCAGAGGACCTCAAGGAGACTAGAAACACTGCCCAGACCAGAGGATAGACTTTCATGTTTGGTCCTCTCCCTCCTTTGGGGGTCTGGGTATAGGACATTCATGACAGGCAGTAGGGCCCTTTAGCAGCAGTCAGCACTACCAAGGCCTCCTGTCCTGAGCTGCTGCCTCCTGCCTATAATCTCTCCCTGTAACTCCCAGAAGCTGCACTTCCTGTAGGTAGAGGGCAGATTGGGCAATCTGCTTCCAAGATGGGTGGGTACCTGTGTGTAGGGCTGTCAGCCCAGCACAAGTGTGTGAGACAATAAACCAGTACCACAGGCTTTGTTGGTTCTTTCTCCCACTTTGTCCTCTGGCTTCGAGTGTCCCCTCCTTGTTTGATCATATTGCAACCACAGAAGCCCCCCAGCCCTATGTGCTGGGGGCTGGGCCGGAGGCTTGGCTCTGTGACAAGGGAGCCAACAGAGTCTGGTGAGGAAATGAGGCCTCCAACAGAAAGAACCTGCCTCTGAGCCCATCCCTTAGCTCGTGTGTTCCATGGAACCAGCTCCGAACCAGCCCAGCAACATCCACGTGTTAAGAGACTGGAATGGGGCTTGGTGCCTGTGGCTCAAGTGGCTAAGGCACCAGCCACATACACCTAAGGTGGTGGGTTCGAATCCAGTCCGGGCCC